TGCTGTCCAGCAGTGCTGAATAGAATATCTAAACCACTGCTGTCCAGAAACCACTGCTGTCCAGCAGTGCTGAATAGCATATCTAAGCAACTGCTGTCCAAATATCTAAACAACTGCCGTCCAGCAGTGCTGAATAGCATATAGTGCTGAATAGCACATCTAATCAACTGCTGTCCAGCAGTGCTGAACAGCATATCTAATCAAATGCTGTCCAGCAGTGCTGAATAGAATATCTAAACCACTGCTGTCCAGCAGTGCTGAATATCATGTTTAGACAACTGCTGCTCAAGCAGTGCTGAATAGCATATCTAAACAACTGCTGTCCAGCAGTGCTGAATAGCATATCTAAACCACTGCTGTCCAGCAGTGCTGAATTGCATATCTAATCAACTGCTGTCCAGCGATGCTGAATAGCATATCTAAACAACTGCTGTCCAGCAGCGCTGAATAGCATATCTAATCAACTGCTGTCCAGCGATGCTGAATAGCATATCTAAACAACTGCTGTCCAGCAGCGCTGAATAGCATAATATCTAAACCACTGCTGGACAGCAGTGCTGAATAGCAGATCTAAACAACAGTGCTGAATATCGTATCTAAACTGCCACAACTATCTCATCAGGGCTCACTTATTCAGACTGCTATCCAGCAGTGCTGAATAGCACATCTAAACATTTTTGCTGTCCAGCAGTGCTGAATAGCATATGTAAACAACTGCAGCTGAATATCAATATCTAAACCCCCACAAATATCTCATCAGTGCTCACTTATTCTCATGAGACTGCTGTCCAGCAGTGCTGAATAGCAGATCTAAACAATACGATCTCCGGGGCACTAGTGAAGACATGTGAAGGATATTGGGTGAGGTTCTACCTGGTGATGGGTCATGCCACTAAGCACAGCAGTTCCAAGGACATCAGGGTAAATTTGTACCCCCCGAGAATAGCCGAAATTTGCTTTAACTATCCTTAGGATGGTCTTAGAACGTTAAACACAATCGCCACCTTACTTCCTGTGTGTAGGTGACCCAGAGTAATTTGTGGTGTGCTGAAAAGTTGAGTTGTTTGATGTTTTTTGGGGTTACCAAAGGTGTCTGAAGTGGAACATGACCCGGTTCGGTTTGGCAAAACCAGCGATTACCGAAGCCATTCGGAGATATATTGTTTGCCTTTGGATGCTTATGGATTCATGCGTGTTCTAGATGCTTTAGAGACCCTCTTTGTGCCCGGGCCATGACCTATGGCCATGCTTGGCAGGTGCCAGAGGTTTCTCAGAACCGGCTCTCCATCACTTGGCGCTGGTGCTGTGGGGGGAGCCCGACTCGGGAGCCAGTACAATACGAGACTCTCGCCGGAAGGAAACATGATGCCTTGATATCCTTGGTTCTTCGAGGTCTAATATGCGGAACAACCGATGACCACTGGCAAGGGGGGACTTTTGAGTGTTGACTGTCCGGTCATATTCGCTCATCTTTGGCCACGGCCAGCGTGTCGCTGCGCAGTGTCGGCTGTCGCACGGCAGTGGCATGAGCCGTTGGGTTGACTGGATCGGTTCTGGATCAGTTGGCCTGAGAACACTGATGTTGACTGTTGAACGATGAAAGCACCATATGGAGATGTAGAAAACCATTCTGGTAGCATTTGGTAGCGCGGTTTTATTGATCAACAGTCAACATGAGTTGCTAGTGACATGTGTGACATGTTTATTTTTATGCTCAATTTGAGTTTACAGATTGATTGACCCTGCCAGCGACTGCTTGTTGTCGTTAACGACAGTACTTAATCATGGACTACGACGTTGAACTACACCACGCTTGAGGAGACACGCACATGTCCACATCACATCACAGGTTTGTACAGGCTTCTTTGCACAGAAGTTTGAGGCTTTGTACAGACAGTTGCTTGGGTATTGTTCCTTTAAGGGAGTAAAAAGTTTTGTTTAAAGTTTTACAGTTGGTTGTTTAGGTGTTACCATACCATACCACTGGATTGGTTTGCAACACATTCATTCCTTTGCGGACAATGAGTCATGCAGCCAAGCCTTTGCCAGGTTTAAAGAGGACTTCCTCCGCAACTTCGCAGCGACAAAGTCTCACAGCGACGGATGCGAGAAAAAACACTGGTCCTTTCCTCGAGGAATCGCAGGGAAAACACCTCAGTTGGAGCCAATCTTTGTGAAGTCAGACACCATGATCTTTGGGAGTGAATCAGATCAGGCTTTGAGGTGTCCGAGGTTTTCCCTATTATCGGAAGCTGCTGGTGCTTGGGTCGCGCAGCTTTGACAAATGTTCCACATCCAAATTGTAGCTGCCCAGCTGCCCGTGTGTGTCGATGAGCCCACTCATGCAGTGTTCACTTTCGCAGATCCTTTGGCTTTGTAACAGGTAGGGTTTATTCTGCACAAAGTGCGGCGTGCCCTAGCTGACAGCTGAAAGCTGTGTAGAATAGTCTAGGTCCATGTCCAGGTCAATATGAGCACATGGCTATTCCGCCATTGGCGATTGCTTTTCCACTTTGCCTTGACCTTGCGGACGTTGGCGGTCGATGCTGGAGATCTTAAGGTGCTGTTCTTCCAGAATACCTTGCAAAGCAATGTCTCCACAAGTCTTCGCTCAGCAAAGACTTTGAAAAAGAAGGCCCTCATTTTGCATTGTTTTTGTCCCAATGTTGCTCTTCATGGGTTTTTGGTATATGGTAGTGGAACCAGACATGCGCAGCGTCACCAGTAAAGACATGAGTCTTCGGAAGTTCTTGAGACTTTGTTCACACTGAGGACTGGAAAGACGGCTTCAGCTACTTCACAGAGTTTGTCATGGGTGGCCTTGCGATTTCTGGTAGGAGCTACACTTTGGAGGTTGAGTAGCTAAAGCCAATTTCAATTTATCGAGATTGTGTTTCTGTTTAAATGTTTGTTACAACATCGGAGAAAAGGACAAGCTCATGCCGGGGGTGACTGTGACATGAATTCGCCTGGGTTTTGCTTCTTTGCCCATTCAGGTGCTTCATTGCAATGATACCTTAGATGCAGCTCCAAGAATACAGAGATGTGTGGATATGGCACAGACGGAGAGCGTGGATGCTCTTGTGGTCGGTTCGTCCAGCTGGAACAAGGAGATCAAATCTGCAGCTGAACCCTACGGTATTCCCAACTTGCATTGCTCAGGTGAGAACGAGCCGCGCGAATGTATCAAGCCTCCGGAATCTAGAAGTGACTGTGTCTCAGCAATTCCCGGCTTCGACACACGGGAAGTCACTCTGTGGTTTCGATAGTGTTTAGTACATCGAGCTAGACTTGCACGCCAAAAACACATAGGTCAAGAGTCTCCCTCTTTCAAGACACCCACATCCACAACCGTCGCTCGCTGTTCTTCTTCGGCTGAGCGAAATGGTGTTTCCTGACCGCCGCAGGTGGTAACCCAGCCATTTGGACTCCGGTGAGTGACTTCGGTTTCGGCACCTCGGTCGGAAGGGGTCGGAGCGATGTTGGGGTCGGACCAGGGACTTGCAGCGATCCAGGAGATCATTTGTAGAGAAAATTAGATAGTAACAAAGGGCATCGCTACTACAACGAAGACGCTACAAGTGTTCTTTTCCAACTGCAGAGATAAGTTGGAGGCTTTTCAGCTGCGTCTTGCCTGCTGCGGCGAGGCTTCCATTTGCCGTTCACATGGTATCCCGAGCAGGCCATACGGCAGGCGCATGTGGGAGCAACGGAGGAGTCGGGGTTGTCCAGCAACTTGAGAGCATGAGGCAAAGTGACCCAGCCAGCCTGAGACTCATTTGGTTGGCATAGTTAGTTACTGTAAGGCTTTTGAACTTGCCTGAACGTTGCATGATCACTAGCCTATACAATGCTATCCAAAATGGTTTATGCCCCATAAGGCGCTTTGCTTGCTCCATGACTCTATTGAGGCGGTCCTTGAGAATTTGCGGTCTGCGGTAATCATTCGACACTGGGCAGAAATGGCCAAGGGCTGTGAAGTCTCACCACTAGAAACAAGAAGCTACTAGTAACAAGTGCATCGCTACTAGTAATAAGTGCCTTACTAGTAGTAACAAGAAGCTGGCTATTAGGAACAAGTGCATCGCTACTAGTAACAAGTGCCTTACTACTAGTAACAAAGACGCTAGTAGTAACAAGAAGCTACTGTTCTCACCACTGACGGTACCTTTTCGCTTCTTCAGATTCCATCCGGTCATTTGGGGCCGACGCTATCAATCCCAGAAGAGGAGTGGGCGTAGAGTGAAAGTTCTAGTCTATACAATCAGTCGTGGTCATCTAAAATCATCTGTGCGATGTTTGGATCAAATCCCTCGGCTTTTTGGAACATCTTTTCAGACCCAAGATCAGTTGTGACCGCAAAATCGTATTCAACTCAAATCATGTGAGAGCTTCTCCACATAAGTTACCCATCCTGTATGACATGCTTCTCCACCTTCACCACCGACCCACGTGGCTTCTCGCCTTGCTCCGAGGCGACTCGGAGGACGCGTTCCTGGGCAGCGCCGCCCGAGCCGCCGCCGAGAGCCTCTTCCGCTCCTCGGGCGTGGTGGGGCAGCTCCGTGTGGTGGGGCCCAGCCTTGAGTGGTGTGACCGTTGGCAGAACGTCACCAGCTGCTCAGTACAGCAGGGGCGCTGCTGCTGTGGTGATGAGGTCGAGACTGCGTGCCGCGGTTGGAATGGTTGGGAATGTGAAGAGATGGGTTCCGTGTGAAGACACCGTGTCCAGTTTGGCCCAGAGATGGAATCGACCCCCAAAAGGATATCTCATACTTGTATGGCTTGAGAAGATATGTCTCATATGGGGAATGGAAGACATATCAGATATGTGCTTTACGCTGGGACCAGCAGGGTGAGCTGGGAGTGACACCGAAAACGAAGGATATATAGCTGACGGCCCGACGGCCAATTTGAGATCTTGGAGCGGGATTGCTCCCAGCAATCCCAGTAGTACGGCCCGGAGCCCCGTTCGTAGCGTCCGATCGCTCCTAGTAGCGATGCCCTTTGCTCCTAATAGCGTCCTCTACCGCCCCCTTGTGTCCTGGAGTCGTGTACTGTACATCATATTATCAGAGCCTCGCTTGAGTGGGCCAGTTGAGATCCCCAGCCCTTCTTTACAGTTCATGGCATCGGCATGCAACAAATCTTTGATTCGGCTGGCACCAGATCCATCAACATAGCCTATAGCCTGGTCTCATCATGGTTTACCGGTGCTTCTGTTTTATTTATCAATTTATGTTATTTTTAAATAATACCAGTTCAGGGCGAAATGGATCAGAAAATACTGTGGAACAAATCAGAGCAGCTTGGAAGAAATCGTAGACCTGAGGTCACAGTCTTGAGGCTCATGTGTTTGCATTTTTTTGTCCACTATCCGGTCAGGGATGCTTTTGTTGTAAGAGTACTGATTACATACCAAAGATACCTCCACGTTCCGGTGTGGATCGAGGACTTGGCTCAGCTTCTATGAAGTGGCTGAGAGCAAGGTGGTAGAACCTGGCTTTGACTCCGGCGCTCAGTTTGTGTCCCCTGCGTTGGTGAGCTTTGTGGAAGGGATCATTGAGGAGAGCGATGGGGAACAAGAGGAACACGTCATGCGGAACATCGTGGAACTGATTCTATGCCATTTGGATTTGCTGGAATTTTGAAATAGGGCGGATTCTGAAGGAACAATGGGCTTCTATTATGTTTTGTTCATGGTGGATTGGGGCAGATCTTCAAGATGATCTCTACTTCTTGAAAAACAAGTGCAACCGCCAATCAGTTTGCCGCTGCCAACATAATGGCAACCCCCCAAAGAGAAATGATCTACTAATACCATTGACCCCTATGGATCCCTTTGGAGTCTCTAAGTTGCCTTTTGCAGGCCTAAGTCACCTAGTCCTGGGGATCCCAAAAGGATTCCAAAGGTCACTTTGAAGGTCCTGCTGCCAAACACATGTCCTGCTGGGTCGCGAGAGGTGCCCTCTCGAAGCCACGTAACGGTGTGTCACCGTCTTCGACCTCAGGAGGTTCGGTCGTGCCTGCAGGACGTTCGTTCCCAGGGTGAGGATCCTGAGATGGCCTCTCGACCGGTTACGTTGGGTCGACGGCACCGACCGGGAACGGGTCGGTCGACCGGCGGCGAAGGGGCTGTCTGAACAGTGAGGACATCACCAGTGATCACCAGTGATAAACCGCGAACGAAGGAACTCTTCATTGATCAGGTCGCCTTTCTGAGCAGCATAGCCCGGAAACAAAGACAGGAGGGTGGAATGGACGGTAGGAGGTGGGTGTTGCATGTGTACTTTCTGAAGCTTGTGCTGAAGGAGACCAGTTGGCATTTAGTCCAGGTATGTCCAGGTTTTTTGTGAAGCTGCACCGAGGTGTTGAACTTTCTGAGAGCCTCCCGGAGTGGGATGGCAGCCATGATCAACAAGAAGTTCAGCTACAAGATGCACCTGGGGCAGCCTAGGTGTCAGAACAAGACGACATGGTCTTCGTAGAAGGCCAAAGAACACAAAAATGAAGTCCAGCAGCCTCGAGAGTAAGAGTACAGCACAGCACTACCCTTTGCAGCATTGTACATATGTACCAGTAGTACTATATAAATACATACATATATCTAGAGAAGAGATGAGACATGAGACATGAGAGATGAGAGAGAGAGAGAGAGACAGAGAGATAGATGAGAGAGATACAACAACTAGTTTTTGCGTTCCAGTTGTTCGACTTGTAACTAAGAACAACATCCTGGCTGGCTCGGCACAAGAATAGATTTTAGGGATAGCCAGGATAGACGTTCTTTCCTGCTCGTGCTGGATCTCACGATCATTTGGAACCTTCCCAGGTACTACGGCGGGCCTAATGTGCCTGGGAATGCTTCGAATGGCTATGAGTTTCTTGGCTTCATTCCATCCAATGAATGTTGCGACTTGGTGCTTTCGAGTCGTGTCGACTGGCGACTGGCTCCACTAGGTCCTACTGGCCCAATGGCAGCCGGGCTTTTGGCTTTGAGGAAAGCGTTTATAACGTGGGCGCCGGTCAATGGCACCACTTGCTGAACTTTTCGGACCCCATCTTTGGAAGCTCCAGAGCCATGGTCTCAGGACACTCGGATTTTGGAGGGGAAGTCGACCTGAACTGATGGTACTGAATTGACCAGGACAGGGAGGCCACTGGAGGCCTTGAGATCGAACCCTTGGAGTGGAGGCAGTGGAGGTGGTGATCGATTGCGGGGTCGCTTCCCGTGTGCTCGGCAACGTGTGGCGGTGGCTGGCGGACGACAAACCTTGTTATTAGTTATTGTGTCACATGCATTCACATGCAAGGTTTTTCTTTTGCCAGACCATGCTTTCTGCAACTTCCCTTACCCTTCCTCTCTTCCAAGACAATCCAGGATTTCCCAGTCGCTGCAACAGTTTTCCTTATTAGAATGTAATAATACTTGTGCGGGTTTGGGGGTCTGACGAGTTGTTGAATGTGAAACGAGTATCAGCGAGTCAAAGTCACTCCAGAATCCACTCGTGGTCGGCTCCCTTTGTGCCATTCTGGTCCTGGCCCACGACCGCCGACCGCCGAGGATACAGAGTCAAGTACGGCCATGTGCCCAGCTACGATTCTGCAGCCTGCATTGCTGCTGGAGTGGCCCTGATGCTTGGATGAAAACTGGTGAGTGTGGTGGCACCGCGGTGACAGGGATGGATAAAAGGTCAATCAAAGGATCATGGCACGTCCCGAAGCTGACTTGCACACAGGTTAGACCATCTCACCCCCCACACCATTGTTGGATCATTCCTAAGCAAAGTGAGCTCCAGCTGCAATGGTGAATCAAGCAATCTGGAGCCACTCGATCTCCGATGGCTGGGCTACAAAGTCTGTTCCAGTATGTCACGGGTTGGTGAAAACTGCTTAATTATGGTCAGTATGTTATCCAAACCATTCCAAACCAATCATTTTGGGGTTGGCTTGTCCCCCTGGATTTTCGTACCCTTTGGACATGAACCCTGAATGGATCTGGAGCATCAAAGACTCCTGAGGAATCTTGACATGAAAACTCGGTAGCGATCTTGGTTCTTGTTCCCTGCATGTCTTTACTGTACAAAATCAGTACTTTGGATGTTTCGTTTTGGATGTCTTCTTCACTCTAGGACGACTGAGACTCCCATGACTTTCCCGCCACTTCGTCGCCCCGTTCGTCCGTCGAACGGGGCGACACATGAGGACCTCGGCTCTGGAGAACGGCTCATGGTCGGGGCTCACGACGATGGAGCGTCGGGAGTGGATCCGAAGCTCCCTAGGCCGGGAGTAGTGGGAGAACATGTTGGCCAAGCTGGGAGGAGTGGAGCAGGACCAAGTCCAATAGAAAGAGACGAAAGAGATTGAACTGCCCACGGCCCCAAGGGTTTGAGATGCTGGTACTGTACATGAGCTTGGACTTGGACTCACAGTTTCGAGAGCGAAGAGCGTTGTCGCGGCCGTATGACACGTTTACCACGCCCCTGGCTGTAGAAACTGGGTTTTTCTTTCGTATCACGCCGGCTCTGAAGTGTTGACGCGACGTTTGGACAAAGCAGATGTCGGTTGAGCGCAAAGAGGGACCGACCTGACATCGTGCATACTACGGAATAACCGGCGTTTTCCAAGGAGAGAAGAACTCAGATTCAGCCGAAAGACTGGTGTTTGAGTCCAGCTGATGTCAGCAAAATAACCATAATAACCCTATATATTTAGCTGCAGGTTGGTTCGGTCTTCAGAGTGCTTGGCTTAAAGCAGTCGTTGCTTCGAGGGCAACTCCCTCCCCTTGGATTCGTCCAGGTCGTTTTCAAGATGAGACGGTCTTCGGCCGGATCCGCTTCGACCGCAACAACCAGAACATTGGCCGAGCTATTGTGAGTTGGCAGGTGCTCGAGGACGGTGAAGCAAGGCGGGGATGGGCCCGTGAAGCAAGAGGTCCAACCTCAGGTAAGGAACTGACCAGGCAAACTAGAAAGTTTTCCAGACTGTTTCCCTGCACCTGTGCTTCCTCCAAACCTTGTCAAGCGATCGAGAACATGATCAAATCATCCAAATATGTACAGTAGATGCAGGGAAGGTTGCTATTTCCAGGGAATGGCCCTTCATCGTCCTTGTTTTGGCTCAATCAAACTTCTCCCAATATCTCCCAATCTTGTTTAGTGTAGGTCTTCTAATTCTTGAGTCACGCACATGTTTGGATTCTAGGGCCAAACACGATGGTGCTCATTGCGAGGGAACAGTCTGGTTGAACTCCGACCTATTTGGGAGAGGGGCCACTTGCATCGAAATAGGGGTAGAAAAGAAAAACCTGTCCCAGCACCACGGAATGGGTGGTGATTGGATGGAACATACATATATTTATAGTCAGGAGTGTTCATAAACCACCCCTTCTGTGGTCCTGGTCTAGACTTGATCTTTCCCATTTCTGCGATCTCACCCTCGGTCTCTCCAGAAATCTCTCCCTCGCTCCAGGCCAGTGTTGCCAACGGAGTTGGTCCAGGAGAGATTTCGTAGCCCAAGTCCCAGCTGGGAGGTTCCTCGTTTGCAGCGAAAAACTGGGCTTGGGGCCTCCGGTTTTTGGTCCCACCCCGTTGTTTTGGGGGATTTGGGGCACTGAACACGTTGCTCTCAAAATCATAAACTTTAAATAGAGTGCCATAAGGTAGGTCGGTGGGGTTCGGCCTGTCTTTCACCCAGGCCAAGGCATCATGAAGACCGAAGGGTTTGTTGAGCAAAGGGTGAGAAAATGCTTGTTTAGATTAGTTGAGCAAAGGGTAGAATTTGGGGAGAGTACACCGGGCCGACTACCCAGGTCCGAGGTGGTTGTCCTCCTGGAAGCTGGGCTGGGCCACGCGGCAACCTTCCGACCAAGTGTTTGCCCTGCCAGGAGATAGTCCGGATCGTTGGGAGGTGTTGGTCCGAGTAAAGATGGTTGGGAGGTTGAGCATCTGGGAGCTTGCCGCTGGTCGGCGCTGGTCGATGAATCAACAAAGAGCTTCGGACGTGTTGTGAACTGGTGGAAAATACAGTGCTGTGCCTTTTTTCTTCGATGTGGCAGGAGGGGCGGTTTCGCTCTACAGGGACTTCGCCTTTGAACTTTTCGGAATGTGAGCTGTGCCCAGCTGGTCGTGGGGTTCTACCTGGCCACGGGCCTGGGCCCCTGGTCGAGTGCCCGCCTTGCGGGGCTGGGAGATACCAAGATGGAGTCTCTGATGGAGGCTGGATTTGGCTTGGAAGAGACTCTGGAGTTGATAGAGGTCCCCAAATAGATTTCAACACAAATTTAGGGGATGCACAATAGAATAGAATAAGGCCTCAGGCAAAAGCATTTCAATGTACGCAAAAGAGCAGCTGCATTGTGGTCCAGGCACATGTCGAAAGTGTCCATTGGGCACATTCCGTGCAGCCAATAGCAGCAGCGGCTGTGTGCGATGCACAGCTCAAAGTTATGGGGATGAGTTGGGCCTGGAGGCATGCAAGCCGTGCCCCTTTGGAAGTTCGCAATGGGAACTTGGTCAGCAGTACTGCCTTTGCGAGGCAGGGTGGACTCGTTTGTTTCATTGTTTTTTACTTGTACGTTTTTGGGTCAATTGATTGATCGCCTTTGCGACAAAAGTCATACTGTAGATTGTCAATGGTTGGTCATCCAGGACCTGTCTTAATTCTTCTGGCAAGTAAAGACACGTCAAACAGATTTCTGGGCAGCTGTAAGCCTCTCATGCTTTGGACAGAGGAAGGCTACCATGAACAGTGACCCAGGGACCCTGACGATGACCTCGCACTCCTGTTGCGAGGTGGGCTTCTTCAAGAATCCCATGGATCAAGCACCCGCAGGTACCGTTCAGGCTTGCTTGGCATGTGATGAGGTCCTCCCTGGTGGCACCACCCTGCACTTGGGCGCATCACAACGTGAGTGTGTATGTCCTCCAGGGAGCTACTGGCATCGAGTGAATGAAAACAGCAGCGCTTTCTGCAAGAACTGTTCGCGCGGCTTAGTGTGCCTGGGTGGTTTCGATCTCTCCAACGGCAGCAGCAAGCATCAGGTTGGGCCTTGAGTCTTGAAACATGCAGCTGGGGTACTGGTAGAAGGTACTCAGGTACTGGGACTGGTAGAAGGTACAGTAATTACTCGCGCTCTCCAAAAGTTACGCCCCTGTTTTCATGCCTTTCAGTCTGGACACGTGAAGCTTGTGGGTGGGCCATTGTGAGGGGCTCTTCGAGCTGAATGGTCATTTTGGACAAAGTGTGGAACTTCAACGCAGTCCTGAGATATTGCAGCCCTGACTTGTTGTATTTTTCCGCTTCTACCGGGACTTCCTTAGTTTCACACACCTCCCACTTTTGCAATCTGTTGCATACTTGTGTAATTCAACGGGCTCGCCAGGCTCCTTTGCAAGCAAGGGGCTTTGCAGCGGGCGCTGCTCTATATGATGGTGGGGATCCCTCCTATGTGGTTCAATGTGGCGACAACTCCCGCGACTTGTAAGGGATGCGTGACATGGAAAGAACGCGTGACCTTGGACCAGGCTACATGTGATTCTGACTGAAACGCCTTGCAGAATCAAACGGTTTGACGGAGGCGTTGGATGAGAAGGTCCTCTAAAACGCTGTCAGCCATAAACTATGCTACATCCGATAGGGGAATCGAGGACACAAGGGACATGAAGGGACCATGTCGAACAACATATCCAGCTGCGACTATACGCACTAGTCACTAGCACTCCGCCAGGAATCAGGGCCGGCATTGCATCCCCTCCTCATGTGTCCTTTTACAGTGGTTTCAGAGTAGATGGCACAAACCCCTACATGTCTTTTAGATGGGGGTCCATATAATATAAACCCTCTTTGGGGGATTGTGCAGACTTTGAACAGGGGCGTGCCGCAGACTCCCATGTCGGGCACACATAACTCACCGAAGCACTGAGTTGGAATTCCTCCTGCACTGCAGACCGTTGGAATTTGCATAGATCCGTGCAGACCGCTTTTGCTTTAAAAAAACAAACAAACATATAGTTGGAATTGGCATTTTTTCCCCTCGTGGAACCCCCCTCACAAGTTGTTTCAATTGTCTTCACGATTTGCTTTGCGCAGGTGCTGCCAACCCCCTTCATTTCATCTGAGGCTGCCCGGGGGGGCTTCCATTGGGAGAGTGCATGCCGAACTCCTTTGGCTTCGCATGCATCAATTGTGCGCCGGGTTATTTCGATGACAAGGGCTTTTGCCGCAGCTGTTCTGAGACTCGGATGTGTTTCGATTCCCGAGTGGCTCTGTTTAAGGAGTGGTCAGGTATTTCAGGCATGATGAACTGTTTTTGTAAAGGCATGTATGCTGTATGCAGGTGGATCATGGTGGATCTTCAAGCATGATGAATAAAGCATAATAAATACATATCAAAACTGTTGGCGACTCATTTGTTGTTTAGACTTTTTGTTCCAGTGTGTATATAGTGCTTTCATGTGTTTTTGCCCATGGTTATGTGGTGCAGAAGCAGGAAGGAAAGCTGACGGATTGAACAGTTTGAAAGCTGCCAGCTCGAGAAGACGTACTTCATAAAGCTACGCGATGCCTTTCCACGATTCACAGGGCTTTTGGTAAAATGCAGCACTAGAATGTATTGGTTTTAGTCGATGCTTGAATATGGGGGCAGATGGGACTGGACTTTTGGGAAGAAAAGATGTCGGGTGACTTGTTGGTCCAGGAAAGCAGCTTTGTGGTGTGGCCCCTCATCGTGGCTGGCCTCTTTGTGCTGCTGGCGCTGGTGGCCTTGTACCTCTCGGCCACACGGGTGGACCGGACACACCGGGATTCCTTGTGCATCATCATCTTCTCCGCTGGGCTCACCTTTGTGTCTTGGAAACATTTAAAAGGAGAGCGACGAGCGATCTATTTAGGAGAGCGACCAGCGATCTATTTGTGTCTTTTGGCTTGGCAAGGTCGTGAAAGTTGGCATTGTATGTGTGATTGGCATTAGGGGGCCGGGGCCGCCGGGGCTGTGTTGAAACGAACTGAAGCTGCCTTTGCAAGCAGTCGAGTCGAGACAGGAAAGGAATGGAACAGACACATGACACACGTGCAGACTACCTGATGCGTGTGTTTTGAGGCATCAGTAAATGGTTTGCCAATGTTCAGCAGCATCGATGTGCCTTGGTCAGCTTTCCTGTGAGTGGCCTGCGCTTTCGCAGCATCAGGAGGGAGTAGAACCAAACCAACCTGGTGTCAAGAATCTTCACGACAAAATGATTTCAAGAAAACTTTGGCTTGAAAGGGTGTCCTTTTTTTCATGTTTACTGTGAATTTAGACATTTTGTTCTTTGGACCTTTTTTGCTTTCGAGATATTTTGCTTTGATTATTTGACGATTTTCATTGTTTCCTTAGACAATCTTTCAACCTTGTCTTCTTGATTTTTTCTTTACGATATTTGCTCTTTCTTTTTGGCTTCCAAGGAGCTCAACAAACAAGTCCAAGAAAACCTTGGCTTGAAAGGGGTGTCCTCTTTTCAAACTTTAGCTTGGTGATTGAGACGTGCTTGGACTGGTTGTGTCAGTGGCAGCGAGGCCGTTGGATCATGAGCTTTCTCAAACCAAGGCTCCAATGAACTTTCTGGGTGGAAACCAGGCCAAAATCCTTTTGCCGCCACATCAAATGACCTGACCCTGTGTAGATGTGCCTGTACCAAACACCTTCTCCTCTTGCCTCTGGAACATCTTCCCCTTTCCTCCCTAGCTCAGTCACTGATACCAAAAACGCCTTCAAACCATCCCACTGATCTCGTTTCTTTCTTCCCTTCACCTGCCTGCTCCCACCTGCTGCTCCCACCGGCTGATCCCCACCGACCGCTACCTGTGCTGAAGAGCCTTAGAGCCGTAGCCTTCGCCGCTCAGGTGGAGCTGGTGGAGCCGCTGAAGAGCCTTCGTTCCGTGGCCTTGGTCTTGTCCTTCGACTTCGACGTCCTGAGACCCGGCTGCCGCTGGGCGGCTGGAGAGGGCGGAGAGGGCGGAGAGGGCGCAGTGGCAGTGAGTGTGGTGTTTGTGGGTGAGAACAAGAGGTTTAGGAGGGTTTAGGGGATGCTCAATGAGGCCAGCGGAGGCTTGAGAGATGTTGCGATGTTCTTCCACGGTTCTTTGATCCTCTATGCCAAACGTAGACCCGTGAACCCAGTGGATTTAACATCCCACGAACCTCGGGGTTGTTGCAACACTTCTCAAAGACCCAGACTTCACCAACTTCCCATTAATAAGGAACAAGGTCCCACTTAGAAGTTGCGTTCTTTGAGATGTTGTAATTAGTAATATGCATCATCTTGATATTCTTAATGTTGCAAGCAATGTCAGAAGATGTCAGAGGAGTCACCATCCAGCAGTTCACAGCCAGATCCAGGGATATGGCGTACTTCTGGTACACGCAGGCTCTGTCGCAACGCCAGACAGACACTCCATGTATGGAATATGTACATTTACATTGACCAGTCCGTTCACGATTCTGGCCCTCCGCCGATTCTGGCGTCCACGCACGTCCAGCTACAGGTTGGTTTGGATCTCGAGATCCAGTGTCCAGCTACATCGTCTCGATTCTTTGCTATCCCGGCATGGCATTTGCCGTGCTCTCGGCCTTTGCCTTTGGAAAGTATGTGATGAAGAAGGCTGCTCAGATGCAGGGAGCCATTCCGTAAATCAACTGATAAGTCATAAAAGGATCCAAATTTGGTCGCCTGTTTCGCCGTCGCATCAAGACGTTTGACTTGGGTGAACAGGGGTTTACCACCATGAACTTAAATATACAATGATATAAAATGTAAGTGCATCGCTAGTAGTAAAAGGTGCCTTACTAGTAGTAACAAGAAGCTATTAGGAACAAGTGCATCGCTACTAGTAACAAGAAGCTACGAACGTAACAAGATATCATTTCACATCAGTCGCCTCGAGGTGGGTGGTGGGTGCTGACCGAACCGAAAGATCTGTCCCGGAACACACAAAACCGACCGAACCAATTGGCTGTACTGCCGAACTGTCGAACTTCAGAACGGATGAACGATGATCGTTGGACGTCCAGCAAGTTTGCAGTATACGTTTTCAATCGAACTGAACCGATCTGGTACTTTGGAATCGGTGAGATTCGGGAAGCTGCAAGCATCACCACCTTTGTATGTGGTATTAACACAGTCATCAGCAATGTGATATGCTGCTTTGAAGTTCATAGTTGATGGGCATGCACCCCTTGATGAATCAACGAAGCAGTATACCCGAACAAAGTTGGGCCCTACACCTTTGTTTGCACAGTAGATGTGATATAGAAGACAACCCTCCTGACCAAACAACTGAGGACATCACCTGGAATGAAGTGATCTACGCGGAAGGCGTTCTGATGTTGGAAGCTTTGCCAAAAAGAGCTCTCCTGGGCTGTTCAACTTTAGATCGCCTTGCTCTACTCCCAGCCGTTCAGAGTTCCACACCTTTTCAGAGTTCCCTCATCCAACAAAGATGGTATAGTGTCGTTTTCGTTTCTGCGGGTTAACTTGCCGGAGGGTAGTTTTAAGCACAAAAAGGGAGTTAATTTCTTAAGACATATAGGTGTATAATGGTGTACTGCATATACTCTTCACCAAAGTCGCTGCACCTAATCCCCCAGTATTTTGCATGACTTGTTTTGGTGATATTGGTTTGGCCAGATCATAATTCATGAGATTCATGGTTTCCGTATTTGTTGGCCACTCTGGCCAACATGGCACCTGACGTCCTGAAGGAAGACCCGTTCCCTGCACAGGGCGGGCCATGCTGTTGTATGGGACTAGAAGATGATTGTAACTTGTAACGGAAGGGGAGAAGCCATGGGAATCCCGAAATCCATCATAGTCTCCTACCAGTGTCCTTCCAACGAAGTCAAGTCCATCAAACATCACTGAATGGGCTGTGGCAGGACATGAGTTACAGTCAACGCCAACATTTGCCAAAAACAACACAAGGAAAGAGACGGACGGGGGGTCTCAAAATACAGTTTTGAGCCGACAATTACAATACTGTATATACCACACACTCTGACATTGGTTTTCAGTTATTCAATTCCCACGTGGAAGGAAGGCGAAAGAACAGCAAGGCGAAGGGTCCAAGAAATTGTAGGTGTTTGAACAAAAGAGTTTCTCACTTGACTGCGGAAGCGCTCAGCAACGGTGGAAAGCGGCGGAGGAAAACCTGTTTGTGGGGAAGTATCGTGAAAGAACCATGAATCAAACCGTGGAAAAGTAGGGTGACAGCTTGTGAAAACCTCAGCAGGTACACACCGAGACGTCTCTCAGTGCTTCCCATCTCGCTGCCTAGCTTTGTTAGACCAGGTTAGAAGCGAGATGCCTGGTCCCCCTGCAGAAAGTGAGACTCAAAAAACAAACCATGGAGTGGAAACCCTTAGGCACAGGGGTTGACACACACGTGGCCGTCGTCGGCGCACGTGTGATTTTTTCGCAAAAAGCGCTCACACTCCTTGGCATTGTGTCCCTTTAGCTTCAGGACAAGTGGAAATTAAGCGTAACGTGCCTGATCGCAAAGTGACCGTGGTGGAAAATGTGTGACTGTACACTCTTGAAATTGAAAGTAGGCTGCAAGCATGAATCGGATCAAGTTCCTTCCGTCAAAGCCCGGCGGCTCATGACTCAGGCAATCCAGTGGTGACACTAAGGCTGTTAAGAAAATCCAAGGTAAGGTGGAAGCGGTTCACACTCTGACATTGGTTTTCAGTTGTTCAATTCCCACGTGGAAGGAAGGCGAAAGAACAGCAAGGCGAAGGGTCCAAGAAATTGTAGGTGTTTGAACAAAAGAGTTTCTCACTTGACTGCGGAAGCGCTCAGCAACGGTGGAAAGCGGCGGAGGGAACCTGTTTGGGGGAAGTATCGTGAAAGAACCATGAATCAAACCGTGGAAAAGTAGGGTGACAGCTTGTGAAAACCTCAGCAGGTACACACCGAGACGTCTCTCAGTGCTTCCCATCTCGCTGCCTAGCTTTGTCAGACCAGGTTAGAAGCGAGATGCCTGGTCCCCTGCAGAAAGTGAGATTCAAAAAACGAACCATGGAGTGGAAACCCTTAGGCACAGGGGTTGACACACACACACACACACCAAATATACCCAATCCTGATTCCTTCAATTTGGAAAAATGTTGATCGTGGCTCATGTTAACATCCCAACTATCTCCAAAAAAGGCCTTGTCGCAAGTCAAGTTTCCGGGCACTCCTTCTGAGAAAGTTGCTGCGAATTGAGGCGATCTTTATGGCCTGTGCCTCAGTGGTGGCCGCCAAGATCGGGGTCCAATGGATGACGATTGGTCCAAGAAGAAGATGTTGAAGTCATTCGGATACACATTCTAAGGCCAACTCTGAGT